CCCGACCCGCAAAATTCAGGCTCCAGGGTCAACCGGGGCAGCCGGCCCCACGGCTCGGGGCAGCAGCTATTTCGGTCAAGCTGTGCCCCACGCAAGAGGGCGGGAACGGGAGCGAGTAACACCCTAAGAAGGAAGAAAGGGAAGAAGCAGGAGCAGGCCCGGAACGGTCTCTTGTGACAGATGAGAGCCGAGAGCGGAGCTCCCTGGCAAGAGGAGAGTTCCTCCCCCTCCACCCACCAGCTGGGAGCTTAACCAACACGACTGCACCTTGCATATTCATTTACAGACAGCGCCAGTGGGGCCTGGCCTGGAAACAGGACACCTCTGCTGCCCGTGCCCCACGGAGACGTCCCCTCAGACATGCCCTCCGAGGCAGAGCCAGCTCCCCTGCGGGGTCTGGGAGCTGCTGGCCCAAGATCTGGTCTCAGTTTCGCTCTCTGGTTTTGCTTCTGGGTGTTCACGGCTTTGACAGAGGAGAGCTGGAACAACCTGCTGAAAACGGTCCCGCTCGAGGTGCCTGTGCGGAGGCGGTGAAAGCAGAGAGCTGGGCAGGCATCCTCCCTCGCAGCCCCAGCTGCACACCCTGGCCCCGGCAGCGCTCACCGGTCCGCAGGGCTTTGCTGCGGGGGAGCGGGCCCAGCCGCGCGGATCCTGCCCACCCCCCGGTGCCCTGATTCACAGTTTTTTTTCAAACCAAGCACAGCCCCCACAGCTCCCGCTCGGGCACGGCTGGGAGGCACCTCCAAGGGAAGCGCTCGGTCGGCAGCAGTGTGCGGGCAGCTCTGCGCTGCCCACCCCACATCACTGGGGCATTTGTGTTCTAGCAGCGCTCGGGGCAACAAGTAGCCACAAACACGGAGTTGTAGCCACAAAGTGCAAGGGACCCCAGAGAGCAAAGCAGTCCTACCCTGCCCTCGGCTCCAGCAAAGCCAGCCTCACGACAGGCGCTGTGCCCAAACCGCTTCTCTTCAAGCCAAACCGCTCTCGTAGCCAAGAGCCATTGAAGCCAAGCGAAAACCGAGCGCCGAGTCCAGCCTGGCTGCCTGGCACAGACAGCTCCCACCACCCGCGGCGGAGGGGCCCGAAACAACCCGGGGACGGGGATGCTGAGCAGGGCCCAGCGTCAGCCCTGGAAAGCTTGAAGGAACGCAGGAGGACAGCAGTGCCTCCCCCAAGCTGCTACACACACTGGGTCTCCCCAGGACGCAGCAGTGCCGCTGGCTGCAGAGGGCACAGAAAGGGCCTCGGCAGCGGTGAACGTGGCTGTGGGTCGCAAGGCTGGACCTCTGACACCAGCAGGCCACTGCTGCCAGCTGCACGCTGTTACTGAGCTCCAGTCCCCACCAACACCGAAACAGGTTGGCTACAAAAGCTTCCTGGTGCTGAGAAAGCGAACCTGGGCTCAGCAGACACGGGAAAGTGTTTTTTGCAGAATTTCTTTCACCTCCAGGCTGAGAACCCCAGAAGGAGTGAGACAAGAAGCAGCAACTGCTTCATGCAGGGCCAGGTGAGGCTCCACGGCCTCCTCCCTGCGCCTCTGAAGGGGTGGCACAGCGTAACTGCCGGGCAGTGCGACAACAAACTCCGTGAAGGGTCCCGGAGGGCTGAGAAAGGATGGTCCTCTGCCCGAGGAGGGGTGAGGAGAGCCAGGGTTGTGTGTCTGCTGCCGCTCCTCCGGGAGAAGCCTGCTGCTCTCACACCTCGCTGAGGGCTTGGCTCCCTTGGGTGCTTTGCCGACAGTTATTCCTAATGGCAGGCAGGAACTGAGCGGGGCTGGAGCGCTGCCCGATTCCAGCTGCCAGACCGATGGCAGCCCGAGGCCGCTGCAGGCACCGTGGCATTTTGGAGGCGTGCAGGCAAAGCACAGGTTATTCCCATTCACCTGTCCTAATCCCTGAGACTTTTTGCCTCTCTGCCATCAGGAAATGTGCAGCCAGGTGGGATGTTCACCCCCGCGATGTGCAGGGGCACGGAGCTTTTGGCACTGCCGATGTCGGCACTACAGGAGCCGCTGCAGGGGAGAGATGGTGAAAGGCCACCCTGGCTGAATGCCAGGTGTGCTTCCAAGAAGCTCCCGATGGGCTGGGCGCTCGTACAAAACCTTACTCAATCCTCCTCCAAATGGGGAAAGCCTGGCCACGCTGCTGAGAGAGGAGGTGTCTCCTTGCCCTCTGCTCTCCCAGCCTTTGTGCTGGTGTGAGCACCCACGTGGCTGCAGCGCGTACTAGATCAAGACAGCAGCCAGACCAAAACTGTTTTCTGCTGAGTTTGTCTTACCCTAGAGCAGCCCCCCAACCCAGTCCATGCTGGGGCTGCACAAACACTTTCCCTGGCCAGAGGAAAGGGAGAACTCGGGAGGGACGGGCTGGGGAGAAGGGCCGCCCCGTCCCATGGCAGCACCATACTGGGCCACAGTAAATGCTCACAGAAGAACAACAGAAGGTGCACAACAAAATACAGTCTGCCCCTCGTGCCTGGAGCACATTTTTTTTTTATGGGCCCCTTGGTTCTTGCCTGCAGCACCCCCTGCTCAGCGCCCAAAGGGCTTTGCTGGGGTGGCTGCAGGGCAGGTTGGCTGTCCCCCAGCCTCACCCTTCCACACGGACCTTTGGCTCCTGCACATCCCAAATACAGCCGACAGAAACACTCCCTTCACTGGCACAAGTTCTTTTGTCATCTTCCGCTCCTCGTCCCCCCGAGGGATCAGAAATCTCAAGACTCAGACTCATCTCTTACTTCAGTTTCTCGGCGCGCCCAACCCACCGGCGGAGCCAGGATAAGCACAGAGCCGCTGAGGGCAGGCGTCCAGCCC